TCCCGAGCATCGACACCGCCCTCTGGGAGCTCCGGCACCGCTCCCGAGCATCGACACCGTCCTCCCGGAGCTCCGGCACCGCTCCCGAGCATCGACACCGCCCGCCCGGAGCTCCGACACCGCCTCGGAGCTTCGGCACCGCCCGCCGGCAGTTCCGACACCGCCCCCGAGGACCACCGGTCCCGCCCCGAGCCCCAGCCCCGCCCACCCGGAGCCCCGGCCCCGCCCCCGAGGACCACCGGCACAGCCCGCCCGGAGCCCCGGCACCGCCCGCGAGCTCCGGCATCGCCCGCCCGGAGTTCGGCACCGCCCGCCCGGAGCACCGCCGCCGCATCCCCAGGGCCGACGAGGACAGAACCCGGAGCCCCGGGAGCGCCCCAGCCCCCTCAGCGCCGCCACCGGGCCGGGCCGGGGGAAGGACGGACACGGACAGAGCATCCCCCGGGCCCAGGAGGGGCCGCCCCCGCTTCCGCACTCCCCAGGGGAGGGTGGTTGGGAAGGAGGCGGGAGCGGGGGACGGCTCCTCTGCGTCCAGTCCCGGATCGCGGCGGGATGTGGAGGGGGAGAGGCGGCCGGGTTACCTGGGCAGGGCCGGGGCAGCGACGGACACCGCCGGAGCATCCCCGGGGCAAGGAGGACGGACACCGGGGCAAGGACCTCCTCGGGGCGAGAGGGCGGACACCGGGCAGGGCATCCCTGTCCGGGCGGACGGACATCGGCCGGAGCATCCCCCGGGGCGAGGACGACGGGGACACCGCGCCGCCCGGACGAGACGGGCGGACACAGGCGAGCGCATTCCCCCCGGCGAGGAAGGCTGGGATACCGGCAGGGTGAGGAGGATGGACACCGGAGAGCATCCCCCGGCGGGCTAGGGAGGACGGACACGGGCGGGAAATCCCCGTGGGATGAGGACGACGGTGCCGGGATCGGGCGCAGAGGACCGCGGACTCCGGCCGGAGCATCCCCCGGGGAGACAGGGACGGACACGGACAGAGCATCCCCCGGGCGCAGGAGGGCGGACACCGGGGAGCGTCCTCCGGGGGACAACGGGGACACCGCGCTGCCCCTCGGACACCGATGCTCCGCCTCTCTCCGCCGCCTTTCACGGGCACCTCCGCCGCTCCCCAAAATCCGAGGGCTTTGGCCATGGCTCCGGGCTGCCCGAGGCACGGACAAAATAAAATTGGCAAAAAAAAAAATCCCATCAAATGTTGTGACCGAGCTTTGCTTTCCCAACGAGTCCCTAGCGCCGCAAACAAATCCCAAAGCCCTCCCCGGGACTCAGGAGGACGGAGACCCCCGGCCCTGAGGCGGGGAGAGGAGCACGGATGGCGCGGGGCTGTCTCCGTCTCCCAGGGCTGAGAGGGACCGAGACCCCTCTGGGTGTCCCCTGGCAGCAGAGGGATGGAGACCCCCGGCCCCAAACACCCCCTGCAGGGACAGGGACAGAGACCCCCGCCCCCAAACATCCCCTGCAGGGAGAGGGACAGAGACCCTCCCCCGGCCCCCCACAAGCATTTCCCAGGTCCAGGGAGATGGAGACCCCGGGCCCCAAACATCCCCTGCAGGGACAGGGACAGAGACCCCCCCGCCCCCAAACCCCCTGCAGGGAGACGGACAGCGACCCCCGGCCCCCAAACATCCCCTGCAGGGAGAGGGACAGCGACCCCCGGCCCTAAACATCCCCTGCAGGAACAGGGACAGAGACCCTCCCCCGGCCACCCACAAATATTTACCAGGTCCAGGGGGATGGAGACCCCTGGGCCCCAAACATCCCCTGCAGGGAGAGGGACAGCGACCCCCGGCCCTAAACATCCCCTGCAGGAACAGGGACAGAGACCCTCCCCCGGCCACCCACAAATATTTACCAGGTCCAGAGGGATGGAGACCCCTGGGCCCCAAACATCCCCTGCAGGGAGAGGGACAGCGACCCCCGGCCCCAAACATCCCCTGCAGGGAGAGGGACAGAGACCCCCGGCCCCCCACAAATATTTCCCAGGTCCAGGGGGATGGAGACCCCTCGAGCATCCCTGCGGCACCGCGGCCAGTATAAAACTGGCAAAAATGGGAAATTGAGAGGAGAACCGAATGGTCTGAGTTAGAGATCGCCGAGGAGAACTCCGAGCCCCTTCCAGGGCTCCGTGGAGAGCTGGGGAGGGGGTGAGGAGCACCGGGAGCTGCTCCCAAAATCGCGGGGAGACCCCGGCCCTTCCCCGGTAAAACCTGTCCCCGCCCCCAACCCGGGCCACGCCCCTTTTCGAACCCTCCACCTCCCGACCAATCAGATCGCTCGGTTACGTTCTGCCCACGCCCCCCCTGTTAGTTCACAATGTGGAACGCTGGTTGCTCCGCCCCCCAGGCTGTTTCTGAGCTCCTATTGGCTGTTGCTAAGGGGCGGGGCTTGGGCGGACTATAAAACGCGGGTGTTGGGGGGGCGTCGCTCAGTCCGGGCCCGGACTTAGTGGAGTGCGCTGCTTCGACGCGCACAACAGGAATGGAACTGCAACTTCTCCGTTCCATCAAATTAATCTCAGAGATATCCTATCCCCCTCCCCGCCCCACATAAGGGGAGGAGGACAGATCTTCTTTTTTTCTTCTTTTTTCTTCTTTCTTTTTTCTTCTCTGTTCTCCACAGGAAATGAAGACAGAAGTTACCCTTGCTGCAAAGCAGCAACAACAGAGAGGTGTCCCCCTCCCCACATAAGGGGAGGAGGACACGTCTGACTTTCTTCTATTTATTACACAGGAAATGAGGATAGAAATTATCCTCGCTGCAAAGCAGCAACGACAAAGGGTGCGGAGACCCCAACAAAGATTTCTCCGCTCCCAACTTCCTCCAGCCATCTCCAACGTGAGCACAAACAGAAACCACCGTGTCCCCCCACCCTTCCCATAAGGGAACGAGGACAGATCTGAGCTGCTCCTCTGATCCCCACAGAACACAAAACTGATCCTAGCCGAAGACCTGCAGCAACGATGGGTGCGGAGACCCCACCACAAACTCCGCCCCAAGCAAACCTCCAGCCCTCACCAAGGTGAGCACAAACAGAGACAATCCCCCCACCCGCCCCGGTAATGGGAAGTGCACAGAGTTAACCTGAGCCTTCATCTCCACACAGGTTGAGGGTGGAGACAATCCAACCCCTCCATCCCGGAGGAGTTGGAACGACGGATGCGGAGGCCTCAACTCCTCCGCTCCACCTACCCTACCCTACTCTACCCTACCCTACTCTACCCCAGAACCCACCAAATTTATCCCCTGTCCCCCTCCCCACCCCACATAAGGGGAGGAGGACAGATCTGACTTTCCTCTCTTATATTAGTTATATATGTATATATATATAATTACATAGATAATAAGTCTATATAATTAAGTTAATAAGGATATTATCCTCAAAATGTGGAAATTATCCACATAGACATCACTTCCTCCAGCCCTCAACAAGGTGAGCACAAACAGAGATGATCCTCTCCCCCCACCCTCCCCGATAATGGGACGTGCACAGAGTTAACC